GGCGAGTTAAACGTGTTCGGTATTGTGCACCCTGTACCCGATTGGAAACTCTTGTGTGCTGATTAAATGGCTAGGTGATGCGAGATCAGATTCATAGGATGCAAAAGCGGTTTGTTAAAACACAAACAACCTTTCTTGCAAATTAATTGTGCAATGCTGTGTAGCCTGGAGAACTACTTTGAAATTTGCAATTAGATTTTTCATACTCCATCAAATCTAGTGTGTAGTATGCTGTACCCGATTGGAAACTCTTGTGTGCTGATTAAATGGCTAGGTGATGCGAGATCAGATTCATAGGATGCAAAAGCGGTTTGTTAAAACACAAACAACCTTTCTTGCAAATTAATTGTGCAATGCTGTGTAGCCTGGAGAACTACTTTGAAATTTGCAATTAGATTTTTCATACTCCATCAAATCTAGTGTGTAGTATGTTGGAGCTTTTATATATTTTATATACACACTCCAGGAAAAAAAAAGACTCACTTGGACAAGTCTTACAAGATACTATGAAGTATAGCTTCTTTCCAAGCCATTGGCCATATTGCCACATATTCTCCTAGCAAGGATGTCCCTCAGGGAACGTCTGCATGGCAACTTCCCACACTCTTGGCTCAGTACTTTACTGAGGTGTGTGGGAAATCCTCTTTTGAAGGAAAAAAAAATAGTGCAACAGGAACTTTGTGGGATTGGGGATTCCCTTGCTCACATCTGGTATTCAGCTGTGTAGACAGAACTGGTCATGCAACCCAGACCTTGGCATGCATGTACTGCAGGGAGTGGGATGTCAATCAAAGGTGCACCCGATGCCTTTTGAAACCACTGTGCAGACATGCCCTCAGAGTTTAACAAGGGAAAGAAGGGCTGACATCTCAGGAATGTAACTGACTGTGATGTTTCCTTTATGTCCTTGTTTCCACTCTATTTAACATTCTTTTGCACATAATGTCTCTGAAAAGGTCAGAGTATTTTCCATATAACACATATGCAAAAGTACAGACAAAAAAATAATGACAAAGAAAAAAAAATAAGAAACCTGATCTATGCTATTTGTGATTTGATATCTTTATTTATAAAGGGAATATAGCTGTAAATGAAGAAGAAATAGGATGTCCTTTAACCCCAAATGAAGTAAATTTACAGCCATTAGAAAATATAACTGCTGCTATTAAAGTGCTTTAGAAAAAAAAATGCCTGAAAACATCTGTATTATATCTGCCAATCACAGCTTTATTCTGTCAGATCACTGATTTGGGGGAGGGGGGGTCTGCCTCTTGCATGCATTAAGAAATACAAGATTTTTCTCTTTCTCTTTTTGCATTTCTTATTCTGCACTTTGAGTACACAACATTTGTAAACAAATCTTCATCCGAGGAAGCTGAAGTAAACCCTTTCTCTCACGAGCAGACCTACTAACCTGCTAGCTCTGTGCAGTGTCTTCGTGTAATGATCTCCCACATGACCTCCTTGGGTTTAGTTGGACTTCTCTTGAATTTCTGACCCTACAACTGACTATCACTCATTATGTAAAACTCAAGTACTGTATGTATGCTATATGCTCTTATAAGTATCCTGAAATATTTATTCTGTGCTTGTGTATGTGAATGTCAATGAAATTATTATCTAGCGTGGACATTAAGCTTTACTGTTGAATGTAAATCCATTATTATTAATTTTTTTTGTACGCTTGTGAACACGTGGAGTAGTGTTAATATTTTTAAGCACTGTTAGTTACCAGTTTTTGTGTATGAATTGAAACACAAGTAAAATATCTTTCTTTAATCAAGCATTTAGTAAATCACAGGATATTATTTCAGAAGTGGGGAGTTATGAAGTGAAGAAATTTTGGCTCCTGGTAAATGCACAGCTGATATACAGACTGTACTGAACTAAAACCATTATGTGTGTGTGACAGCAGATGGTATGTGAGGGAATGCTATAATATGATTTAACTATGGTTTTCCTCCACAGAATAAAGCTGGGATCCAAAGTATACCTTTTAAATATTCCCACATACCAAGAACGATACCAATTTTGTTCCTCTCCACAGACTATAATTGCCACCATTTTGTTCTGCTTCTTTCAAAGATTTTTGAAAATTATGGGAGAATCATCATTCTTGAGATCTCAGCCCTCACTCTGCCTGCTCCTCACTGGCTGCCTCTTTCAACTCTATAAAGGTTAGGTCCGCAATCCCATATAATCTTAGCAGGGAATAATCCTTACTGAACACTTATTTCTAAGTAAATGTTTCTGTGATTGGGCTGTAAACCTCTGAAGATGATGGGGTGGATGAGGTGGGAGAGGGCAAGTTAAGAGATGCCTGTCTCCTTGAACAGTAAAAACAGTCTTGAGTTGTTGGATGGAATTTGAGTTCCTGTGAATCTGTGGTAACAATACCTAGCACTATTGAGGTATTAAACATTTAAGATGTGTGCTTAAAACAAGAACAATGGAAACAAGAGAAAGCCTATTATGGCTAGGTCCCTAGTACAACATTCCCCAGCAATTCCATGGTTGAGCAGGGAGAGTGGGATTCAGGCAGTGATCCTCTGTATGGACACTGAGTGTGTATATTTTTTTATCTATGGAGTGCTGGAAGGTCTGTCAAATGGGGTGGGATATGAGAAGCTTCCACTGATCCTTGTTTTTATGGTTGTCTTCTATTGCACTCTGCCCTACCCTCCCTGTTGATGCCACCCCAAAGTTGCTTTGAAAAGACAAAGGAATCTCTGACATAGGAGTCAAAGGAGTCTCTTACAGAGTGCCTAGAGCTTACCAGTTTTACTACATTTCCCAGAACCCCCCAAGAAATATAGCCTGAAGCCATGCTAGCTGGGGGATTTTGGGGGCTGTACTGTCCCTGCCCCCAGAATCCAAACTCTATGATTGCCAAGAGCTGTAATAGAAAAGGAAGATTCGGGACCTTGTGGCTCTCAAATACTAATTTATAGCTCTTATTGTCTTATCAATGAAATCTTGGTGGTGCAGAACAATTCTTAAAAGTTTTAATGTTCATTCAGTATTTGACCAAAGAGAACATTATGGAACCTTGTAGAGTGTTTTAATATGATACCAAGTTTTCTGAACATTCCATTCAATAGGTTCCTCCTATGTTTGAGTTTTGTGTACTAAAGTTGTACTTCTCAAAAATGTAATATGGAAAAGCCTCACAGATGTTACTGAGACTGATGGTCATAAGAAGTTTGAAAAATTTAGACTGCCCCCTTTATTTCTGTCGTGTTTGGTTGGGAATACTGTAGGTTCCATTCAGCTCCCAAGAATGTCAGTTTGGAACTGGATAAGAGAATAAGGTTCTTTCAAAGCAAAGTAAAAGAAAAGAAAGCAAAGAAAAACAATTTCAAAAGCCAGTGTTGTGCCCTGCTGATCCATGCTGTTCTAACAAGAAATCTCTTACCACATGTTCAAGTATATCTTTGCCATAACTATACCGTGAAACGTTTTCTCAGATTAATTTCAATGCACATTAAAGGAAATGTGATCCCTTCCAATTAATTTTTCATATGTCTTAGTCTTCAAAACCAAGGTCCAGATTTAATAGTCAATCATTTCAAGAATACATTCTTGTTTATATAATGTCTTTACTCTTATATTTTGGTGGAATGCAGTGTGGCTATTTAAGGAATTTTAAAGCATGGTAACATACACAAGTGGTGTTCTTGATGTTACAAAGTCATTCCTGTATACTGATTTGTATTACTTGTAACAAAACAATGAAATCTGGGAATTATTCAACATACCTATACTATATTTCCTCCATACCTGAAGAAGGCATAATATTAGTGCTGTGAACCTCTACAAATACATCTGTGATGGAGCATTCATTTCTATCTCTTACTGTATTATGTGCAATTGTTTCCATAAAATAATCACAGAGATCCTATAGAATGAATTCATTTATTCATCTTAATCTTGTTTGTAGTGTTATGGGTCTAGTAGGAGAAGGCTAGAGTGCAAGTGGAGAAGAAACCTGACAGATTATAATTGAAAAGTTGTCAGGATCGCAACTAACCTTTACCTTGCCAGGGTGAGGGCTGCCAGTCGAGCTCACCTCGCTGACCAGATAAGCGAAGCTTCAAATCAGCAGGTGGAACTTTTCCATATCATTTGCAATCTATCCAGAATTGGTCTAAGTGATAGGCCTCCTACTAATATTTCACCTGATCAATTTGCAGCATTTTAAAAATCTAAAGTGGAGGCCATCCACTCTCTCCAAACCCTCTCTCCTTTGAACACGGTAGATTGAGCAAAGACACCCAGCACTCTGCCTTGCCAATGAGACTCAATCTCTTTCAGCCTGTGACACCAGATATGGTGGACAAAGCACTTGATTGCTGTCTTGCCACCACCTCCTCCCTTGACGCTTGCCTGGCCTGGCTAATCAAAGCAGCCAGGCCTATAACAACTGAATGGGCCATGGCAAGGAGGAGGACACCCATTAGGCCTATTAGGAAGAAACCAAGTTTGGCAGCAGACGACACTGGCAATTATAGGCCCGTCACCAATGTTTCTTTCCTCAGCAAAGTGGTAGAGAGGGTGGTGGCTGACCAGCTCCAGGCCCTTTTGGATGAAACCAATGCCCTGGATCCATTTTAGTCGGGCTTCAGGCTGCGCCACAGTACAAAAATGGCATTGGTCGCCCTGTTTGATGACCTTTTGATGGAGGCCGACAGAGGCAAAATGTCTCTGTTGGTCCTTCTCGACATCTCAGTCACCTTTGATACCATTGACCACGGTATCCACCTGGGGAGGCTCTCCAAGCTGGGAATTGGTGCCCTGGCTCTGATCCTTCTTGGAGGACCATCCCCAGAGATTACAGCTTGGGGACAGTGTACCGGTTTGGTAGAATCTTAATTGTGGGGTCCTGCAGGGCTTGCTTATCTCCCCAATGCTGTTTAATATCTAGATGAGGCCACTGGGTCAGGTCATCGGGGGTGTTGGG